TCACAGCTGTAATTTCCTCCGTCCAGCCTTTACTTGTTTATCTAGCCGCTGGAAGAAATGAGCGTTGCATCACCGGCTAACAGCCACGTCGGACGTAGATTTTACTGATTAGACACCCGCGAGAGGCTCAACTTTTGCATTCTCGTGTTTCTTCCTGTTTCTGTTTCGGTTTCGCTCAACGGAGAGCAGCCACGCTCTCGAGGACGGCGGTATCTCATCGGCCGAATCCGCCTCGCAGCGAGTCGCAGTCATTGAAAGAGAACTTGGAGTCCATGGCCCAACGTATATACGGTCCCGCGGGAGCGTTTGTTCATCGTCGGGTAATCCCGTCGTCGTTCAAATAATCTGTACTGTCGTTTCTTCCGGCTACGTTCTCCGGCCGACGCGCCACCTGCGTCGCCGCCGCCGACGGAATTTACGCAGCTCGCCACATACACGGTGTCCTGAACTTTGCTCGTTTCCCTCCTCGCGAATACCCGCGACGATCCCCCCGAATCGATCCCACCCCCGGCGAAAATTCGCTTGAAGAGCGCCATTGTCTGCGTCGCGCTCTCTCGATTCCCTTGCTCTCAGCGTCTCGTTCGGCTGTGCTTTCGATTAAACCGGACCGAGCATTATCTGGCTTGCTTGCTTTATTCGTTTCCCCGCCGCTTCTCCGTCTCTCTTTCTCCTTTCCTCTCTTTCTTACATGTTCAGTCAACTCGACGCGCTTAATGTCGCAGCTTCAAGCAAGATGACGGGGCTTCGCACAGCCGTTTCTAGTCCTGCGCATCAAAGACCTTCGACCTTGTGTATAAACAAACCGATAAATAAATCGTTATAAATTACCGATGCTCGGGAAAAGTAGAGTTCGCGGTAGTGGCCGCCGCAGAGAATCCGACGTTCCGCCGGTGGCCGCCGGTCAAAGCGCAAACGAGAGCGCGTCGGACATTTTGCGCCTCTCATGACACCCTCATAATCTCGATCGGCCGGCCTCGCGCGCAACGCAACGCAACGCAAACAGCGCCGTTCATTTGCGCGCGTACACGATACGCGGCGAAGCTTCACGAGCACCGTGTATATTTTATGGGGTGCGCGGTGGCAGTCTGCGTGGCGACGCCGGAGGTCGATACCGCGAGAGTCCTCCTCGCCATCATCCGTTTCCGTCCGTCGTCCCTCCCGCGGGGACGCTCCAGGATTCTCCCTCCGTCCCTGCTTCCCCTTGCCTTCCTGCTGCCGTCACCCCCGCCGGCTTTCAGCGCCGAAAAAGAGAAGAAAAGAAGCGGATCTTCGATAGCTTCTCCCGCTCGCCCGCGAAGGGCGCGCGAGGAAGAGGACGGGATAATAGAACAGAGAGAGAGAGAGAGAGAGAGGGGGGGGGAGGAGTGAGCGATCAGGGTCGTAATTTCCCTATCACGTGTCTTGTCGGGCATAAAATTGCAATTTCGCCGTGGCCCGGCCAGATGACCTACGAGTTCTAATATCCGCCTGTAATAATCGCGCGAGAAGGGTATCCGGTGCGACGCCGTTACACCGGTAATGGCGTTTACCTTTACGACGCAGCGCTCCGCGCGGTGAAATTGTTTTGGAGATTGAAATCCCGCTGACCCGCCACCGCGGCCACCTCCTTGTGCTGGACGAGGCCTGCTTTATAATCCGGCCGGGTGACCTGCGTTTCTCCGCGGCGCGGGCGGCGTTATTAATTCAACGGCTGCGCGATGGATCGCCCGGCGTTCGTTCGATCTTGAGACGCGACGTGCGTCCGTTGCAAACATTGACGGGGACACGCCAGACCCCTGCGCAGCACGCAGGTGCTGGGGGTTCGCGTTCGGGGTAGAGTGGGGGAGGAAACGGTGAATTTAGGATTGACCGCTGCTCGCGAGGTGGGATTGTTGCGAGGAGGAGGAGGAGAGAAACTGTCGAGGCCGCGCGCGCTGATTTCTTCAAGCCGCGTTATTAATTTACGGCCGAACGTACGTCACGCTGCGGCTGGATGGCAGCCGCCGCGAGGGAGAAATTCCGGCGGAATTCCGGAATCCTCCGCGCGGAGAATTGTCTTTTCGCCGCGCGTGAGACGCGCTTCGTCCGAGCGCGATCTTCTTCGCCGCCGCCCGTCGCTCCACGACGCTGTCATGGCCGACGGCGCAGAGTCGAGAGCTGTCCCGTTTCCCCGGGAGCTGTCGATAACGCGTGTACATAGGTGAACGCTCTCGCGAGCGCGGTGGATGGCAGTAAATTCATTAATCGTGTCGCCCGTCTCCCGAGTATCCAGCGGCAAGACAAACACGACGCCGCCGTCGACCTCGGCAGGTCGCTCGGACGAACGGTGGCAAAGCGCGACCTCCGCCCGTATCCGAAATCGCAATTTCCGCGGACCTTATACGACTGCTACAAGTGCCAATATCGAGTTTCACGGACCCGCGGGCCTCTCTCGATGCAGCCCAGGTGCGCTGTTTCTCGAGAGTTCGTCGCGCGTCCCTTCTCGTTCCTCGTGTCAGTGCGCGCGCGTATGTCGTCCTACGAGAGAGAGAGAGAGAGAGAGAGAGAGAGAGAGAGATAGAGAGAGAGAGAGAGAGAGAGAGAGAGTTCCTCCGCCTGCGTTATTGAAAAACACGTGGCAGCCGTCGCCGTCTCGGTAATCGATTTCCGATTGCTCAATAATTCGCGCATTCCACAATTATCGGAAGTGCGTGTCCGCGCCGGGCGGAGGGAAGCAAAAAAATCAACAAGTGACTCCTACCTGCACTCGCCCGGCAGGCTCGCGCTCGCTGTTCGCTCCGCTCGTGACACTTATGATCGATCACGTCGCTTACCGTTCGTTAGATGCGGCCGTCAGGTCGCTTCGACACTTTTGCCGCACGTCTGCCCACTCCGGAGACTGGCTCCGCTTCCGCCATAAGCGCACCGACGAGAAAAACACGCGTCCCTGCTCGAGCCGGCCTTTTTCAGCAAACCCCACTCGACACGCCCGCCCACGTCGCGGACCTACGCCAACAGTCACGGCGTTAGCGCACCGATCTTAATTAGCAATTAATCTGCGGGACCCGGCGCGTCTTCACAATGGAGCGGCATCGGGCTCGATCCGAGGGATCAAGTAGGGTTAAGGCGATTGCTTCCTCTCGCCGAGAGCCAATCAAGTGGCTGATGCGGCCTGAGCGATAGCGAGCGAGCGAGAGAGAGAGAGAGAGAGAGAGAGAGAGAGAGAGAGAAAGAGAGATAGGAGGGTGGTAAGGAGAGGGAGGGGAGAGACGCTGTATTCCAAACGAAGAGCAGCATCTCTCGCCAGTACGAGAGACACACCGATATCGAATATCCGAGGGTGATGGGCGAGCTGGGGTGGCTGAATGGATGGGGTGGAGGGCGAAGCAGAAAGGGAGCGGCGATATACAGGGGTTGGCTGCAGCAACAAGCTCGATATCGCTCACGTGTGTTGTGTGTGTGTGTGTGCACACACACCGTGATGCACCGGCGAATCTGGAGTGGTGCTGGGTTGCTGCGCACGTGGAGGAAGCGAGTGAACCGAAACGTTGCCGAAGCGTGCTCATCTCGAGGAAACGGTGCCGCGTGCCTCCCCCGCCGCGAGGTGTGGGCGTGTGTGAGCGAGCGAGCGAGCGAGCGAGTGAGTGCGGTGGTTGTGATTGCGTGGCTGTAGATGCAACGCGGTTTAATATAGATAGACGAATGGCGCGGGACGCGGTGCGCGCGAGGAGCCGAATGCGGATTATGCAGGATGTTGTTAGCGCTGCTGCTGCCGCCGCCGCGCCGTCTTTCCCGCTGCCGGAGGCATCGGAGCAGGACGAGGGGGATGAAGATGGCTGGGCCGCCGCCTCGCGCTCGGAATCGAACGCTCGTTAGAAACTCGATCGGAGTCCGTTACGTCGTCTCGAGAGGCCGGCCATTATCCTGAATCCCGTGTAGCTCGACGTGAGGCAGAAAGGATCGGCTCGGTTCGCGCGCGGGTCACGCGAGAGAAAACACGCGACGATCGCGCCTCCGTCCCGACTCCTCCGCGAACTCGAGCGACGCGCAGTTTTGCATCCCCATCGAGCGCCTTCTACAATCGTTTATTCTTCACGGGTCTTCTTCACGGAAATATTGTGTTTGTAGGTGCTGGTCTAGTCAGAGACGATCGGCAGAAGTACTATCGAGATCACTACTCGATAGTAGCGACTCTGTGTGTGCTCCCATACGGTGGTAAAGGATCGGTTAAATTACGCGAGCCGAAAGCTCCTGGCTTGGGGGAAGTGAATTTCTGGTTCTGACGAACCAATCTCGGCCCTGGGAGATTTGACTGAAGGAAACAGAAGTTCCGCTTCTTGGAAGCGATCTCTCGGCCCCGCGTAAGAAGCGGACGGTTCCGTTGCCTTCTCGAGAGCAAAATGCGCTCGGTTCCGTTCATAATCGCCTAGTAGTTCAGCCCGTCGTTTTTCACGGTGCAGCATCGGTTTGCGAACACGGACAGTGCCGTCGTCGCACGGAAGCTCGTCGAGATTCCATCGCCTCTGCCGAAGGCAGAGGTTAGATTTCGCAGCAAAGTCCATCTTCCGCTGCTCGAGATCTCTGAGGCACATCGGACGGGGGGAGGAGTAGAATGCAAATGTTTCCATCGAAAGTCGATGAGCACTCGCCGCTTGTATTATCGGTGAAACACCCCCCTTTTGCTGCTCCGACCAGAAGCATTTCGACCGACCCCCGAGAGGGGAGCGCGCTTTCCGGAACCACGTGAATTCCTCCATCGGGACGGCGCGATAAATTATCCTTGCATCGATGTATGAAATCTGGCCTTCTATGCTACTCTCACCCGGCTCCTGCCCATTTTTCAGAAAATGCCCGACGTTGTCACGTCGGCGTTTCTCGCCGGAAGTTTCGTCCGAGCCAGCGGGGAACGCGCGGGATAAATGACGGCGCTCGGGCTCGCGCGTCGCGTTTGCCTCGCGGTCGCGTTGGAGCGGCCAGAATTGTTAGCCACCGCGAATGGTGATTATAGAGTCTCATCGAGGAACTCGCTCGTTCTGTTGCAGGCTCGAACACACACAAAAACGACGCGACAGGAAATGGAAGGCCCGCTCCCCTTTTGGCGGAACCAAGATACGGCGCCGCGCCCCAGCCATACGGTGAGTGTCTGCCTGTCTCTCTGTCTGTTTGTCTGCCTGTTTCAGCGTCCGTCCGTCCGTCCGTCCGTCCGTCCGTCCGTCCGTCCGTTCGTTCGTTCGTCCGTTCGTCCGCTCGTCCGCTCGTCCGCTCGTCAGTCCGTTCGCCGGCTAACATAATGGCCAAATTAAGCTCACCGGTTCGGAAAATAGATGGCTCGACCGACCGGCGGCGCGATCGCACGTTTTCCGTGAACACGTGTAAAAAATGAGAGCGGGATTAATGGAGGAGACTCGGACGAAGTGCGAAGCGTGGCCGGCGTTTTCCCGGGGCGCTCGCCGGAAGTAGAGAAGTACGTCGAGGGCGGCATTAGTTTGCAGCGTACGAAGAGGAAAATTTACTTTCGTGCGCCCGCGCGCGAAAGGGAAGAGACCTCTTATCTCTGAAAGAGATTCATTGGACGGACCACCGCATTTATGAAATATCGCGTTGAATAAATTCAGATATTTCTGCGCGGAGGAAGCGTTTCTACCCCCATCCTCTCCTCCTCTCTCTCTCTCCCCCCCCCTCTCTCTCTCTCTCTCTCTCGCGCTCAGTCTCTCCCTCTTAATGCGAGCTCGTCGAATTAGAAAAGCATTTTATTGGGGCGACCTCACACTGCAGGGGTGTGCGCACACGTGCGCGGCTTTTGTTATTTTCATTAGACGTTTAAATATTAATGCGAGAGCGTATACCAATACCAGTAGCCAGTCGCTCTCTCTGTCCTCCCGGAGGGATGTTACGTGCAATTTTATTCGCTGCGCAAATAGGGAACGCAACGTAATAGCATGTACAGCACGAATTCTGAGATCCTTAATTATGATAATGGCGGAACGATGCTCAAATTAGAGCCGTCGTGCTCTCGTAAAATTCACCCGTCTCAATTGGGGAAGAAAGAATGCGCGACGATGTTCTGCATACAAAAAATTCTCATTTTCTCTCTCTCTCTCTCTCTCTCTCTCTTGCGTGCTTTCTCGATGTCTTCCTTAAACTTTGCACGTTATCGACCGTAGAAGTTGTCGCATTATTTTAACCATTTCCTTTTCTCCGTATGCATTCTTATAGTTTTTTTCAATTTCCATAGAGGAAGGTCTGAACGTCTGAACCGAGACGTTTGAGCGATTCTCGAAGAAGTCCGCTCTCGATATCCTCTCTTCTCCCTCCCCCCAACCCCCATTTCTTGTTCCATTTGTGTATATCTAGTGGCTTTCGCAATTGGCATGTCGCCACGTAGCTTCTCGTTGGCTTTTCTTTTAATCTGCGACGATTCACAAATTGCACCTGCAAGTACGTCGCGTCGTAGATTCGCGAGAAGAAGCCAAACGTCTCGGCGATCGAAATTGTCGTGCAACCGACATCACGCGACGCTGTTGCATCCGACGTTACGCTCCGAGCGGTTGTTACAAGCAGCAGCGCGCGGCCTTTTGTCCGCACTGCCGCGACCGTTCAAACTGTTTGAACTCCTAACATTGACTCCCGGGAAAATAATTCCCGCGGTATATAGCGCTGTCTAAAACCGCCGTCGTAAGTCAACGAGGCCGGGATCCTATTGCGATTTTGACGGGAAATCAATGAGCCGAACGTAACAAAGTACCACGCGCGCGTCTGCAATCGAAGCCAATCTCGAGCCCGCCGAGCGCGATGTAATCCGATAGTTGAAAACATTATCGTAACTCACCGCTCTGCCCACGCTCACCTTGCCCGGTAGCCTCCGACGTTCTAATCGATACCATTTGTCGCAACATTTAATACGCGGACGCGCTCGACAAAAGCGTTGCATTACCATTCCGATAGAGCCGTCGACTCGAATTACGCCAACTCCGGCGCTCGCATCCTCCGTGCTCCGTTTCGAGTCTGCCGTCGGTACTTCTTAACTTCCGCGTGTGTATGTGTGTGTGTGTAGGTGTGTGTGTGTGTGTGTGTGTGTGTGTGTGTGTGTGTGTGTGTGTGTGTGTGTGTGTGTGTGTGCGTGTGCGTGCGTGTGTCTATTTTTATATTTTATAATCTTGGATTATCTTCATGTGTGTGTGAACGCACGTACATACTTGCGTTGCGGGAGCCGTCTCCGAGTCCGCATCGAGAAGAGAAGTGTCCGATATTTGGAGCCATCCAGATAAGTTTTCATGGCTGTCTCGACAACCGCGATGGGAACTTTGCAAATGAAGCACTCACAAGGGACGCAACTTTTGTACTTTGACTAGTAAAGTTACTGTGAAATTTATAAATTTGTAGGATTTATAGAGATCTCTCTCTCTCTCTCTCTTTCTCTCTCTCTCTCTCTCTCTCTCTCTCTCTCTCTCTGTCTCTGTCTCTGTCTCCTTTTCTCTCTCCCTCTCCTCTCTCTCTCTCTCTTTCTCTCTCTCTCTCTCTCTCTCTCTCTCTCTCTCTCTCTCCTTCCTTCCCCCTCTCTCTAGCTAAATATACTGAAAGAATTATAGTCGGGAGAACCAATTTGTAGTAAGTGTTATTATAAAGTGTTAGTGATAATAACCTTACGTGCATATTGGTATTGCTGCTTTTTTGTTAAAACAGGAAAGGAAATGACTATAATTTTCGTGAGATTAACTGTTCTCGCTCTCAGTGCGGTGGTGAACAACACTCGCGAGTTGAAAGGTGCCTCGAATCCTTCAAGCTCTATTCGCACCGAGATGGAATATCAATTATCGCAATAGGCTTGCGGATTTCCAATCAAGCGTGTATGCAAATGAGGATTTGTGGGAGCCCGAATGCCGATGTGATTGCGTCAAGAACTAAATATACTTTGTGTTTCAACACATGTATTATAAACGGGGAAATATGTATGGAAATGTCTCCCAACGACTTTGATGAACTTGGGATATGTTGTAGAGCCGCTGAAAATAAATGACTGTATGTTTCTCTTGTATATGTCTTCCCACATGTTTAAGGGGTTGAGACAGCCCCTCGAAGGTGACTCCGCAGAAATAAATGCGAGGAAACGCCTTCGTGACCGTGAGGTGCGTGCGAAAATCAGACTGAAAAGCCTCGTAACGCTTAATGTACCCTCTGCGTTTTAAATCTCCCCGAGACACGACGCTTGAAGAAGTGGTTGATCAACGACACCGTGTCCAAAAAGTCCAAGTACACAATTACAAAGCGCATCGGAATCATCAAAGTCACCAAGTCATCTCAACATTCGCATCTGAAGCATCTTCTCTCATCCACCTCACAGCTCTTCGCTCGCGATCTCGATTTCACCGGATCACCTTCGAGGGATCGTTTCGCTCGCCGCACGTGCCCCAACATACAAAGGACATACAAAACGATAACGCCATATGTTGCTCCTTAGCCGCTCTATGATGTAGCCCAAAGTCCGAAAGCAAGTAAGCCAAAGAGCTGCTTCGGTGATTATACCGAAGCAACACCATGTTCCCCAGCGGTCTCCGAGCGAGGCTAGCCGCCCCACCCCACCCCCACCCCCACCCCCTTGCCATTGTTGAACCCCTTCGCGACTTTGCCGAACGGTATCGCGTGTCCATCTTCAAGTGGACATGTGCGCTTCCCCGTGCCCCTCTGTTTGTTACTCTCGCTCACTCACTCACTCGCTCTCTTTCTGTCTCTTGTCTTCTTCCTATCGCGCCTTTCGTCGTCACTTACCTGGCACGTCTCGCGGCGTGTGTGATTTCAGGTTCCACGCCACAGGTGACTTTCCCGCCGGGCGCCGGGCACGACCGTTACGAGGAGAACTTCAACGGGCCGGCGACGTACGCGGAGCCGTACGTCGAGCGTTACGGCATCAAGAGCGACTTCAGCGGCCGCGAGCCGTTACATCCTACGCCACCTCGGCCAGGTTACGTGCCCACTCTGGGTCAAACGCCGCCCTCCAGCACACAGGGCTCCGTCATGATGGTCTACGGCCTGCAGCCGGACAAAGTCAATACCGACAAGCTGTTCAACCTGTTCTGCCTGTACGGCAACGTCACGAAGGTGAGTCTTTCTCCGTCCCGTCGCATCCGCGCAACCTTTTGTCGCGACCCGACGACGTGGCCGCGGTCGTCGCGCTCGCGGTCTGACGCCCGGTTTCGTTGCCGGCCGCTGTGACGTTCGCATGACACGTCGATTGTCCTTAACCGTGAGCCGACAAGCTCGACGTTTCGTACGCTTGGTATCGCGCGGCCAGCGAGAATGGAGGCGAGAACTTCCGTGCGTTTTGCTGCGTTTGATACTTCAATCACGACGAAGTTCTCGCAAGCTGTCACGTGGCTCGTACCCGACTAGAAATTTATCCCATGGTTCTGATCAGGTTAACCTCATTTGGACATCAGGTCTCAATAAGGTAACACTATCGGGTCCTAGTAAGTCATGTAACGCAGCGTGGATATCAGGACTTTAGTAAGGTTCATAGTCAGGTCCTTATTGAGTTACCTTATGGAATCCTTATTACATTTTTTTTTTTTTTTTTTTTTTTTCCAAATTATGGCTCCTGATTACTCGCCACGGCTATATTGGGTGATGACATTGGAAATAAGAAATGACACGCTGAAAATTCTTTCATGTTATTTCCAAATAAAAAGATATTTGCATGAAATAATATTTTAGATCGCTTGAGCATACTTGTAAAATGTTTCGTCACGATCAATAAATTATCGCACAACAAACACGCACTGAAATACATGGAACATGCACGCACAGAGTAGGCGACTGAACTGCTTCTCGAGCGTCTTTTGTCTTTTGTCTAGACCCATATATGGACAAATGCAAGACAAATGAGAGCTGCAGTGCGCACGCAGCTACAGGCAACTCGTTGTTGCGCGTCATACGATAAAAATTCAACTGTCTCTAATTATATGTGGCGCATTATAAAAATATTCTTTTATACTACGTCCAGTATTATTAAAATTTTACACATACACACACGCGCGCGCGCGCGCGCACACACACACACACACACACACACACACACACACACACACACTTATAAAATTAATTACAAATGGTTTTTGTTAAAACTTGATAATGCAAATCATATTCGGTACAATGAATAAGATCCCGACAAGGACCTGATCAACTGAACCATATTATATCATACACTAGGTTGGTACATTAAAGTCCTAATGTGGACCCAATCATTATAACCTTATAAAGATCTTCCTTACTCATTTGTCGTTAGGACGTTATAAGGACTGACTTACTTAGGATTACCTTTCATTCACTCTATTAGGTCCTTATCAATGTTAGGTGAACCTGATCAAAATTTCTAGTCGGATACATGGTCCGCTAGGTGGTACATGAGGTAAAGTTGGATTCTCACTGTTTCTGTAGACAGCAGCCCTTGAATCCGACAGCTTTCTTTTTTTTTCTTTTTCATCGCAACGATGGAAATGCGATCGTGACAGATACTGTGAATATTCCGATAGAAGACGTCGAACAATGCTCTGCCGTCTAAACGGGTAGCGAGGATCCAGCATTACTCGTCGTGATATCGCGTGTTTCTGACAGCGGAGAAGAATGTTCTCCTTAGGTTTCAACCTATGGAAAAATTGCTGTTGTGTCAATCATAGAATAATTGCACGATCTCAAACAAATCTCAACTTGACATTGTCGAAAATAACGTGCGAACACTTAGACTAGAACAACGTCACTACGTTACTAACGTACTAGGAATGTCACTGTTGAATCGAGATTTTCTCCAATTACGGCGCTGTTTTCTGCTGCATTTTTCCGCTGCGTGTCGAAGATAAAAACGATTCGATCGCAACAGTCGAATTACTTATCCTGAGAATCCTTCGAGACCGACTTTCCTTCGACCAGGCGCGCCTGACACGGCTGCTTCGCAGTCCGTTGTCGAAGATCGACCGAGTTACCTCGAGAGAGAGAGAAAGAGAGAGAGAGCGGAAGCGCGATCGATTTACGCGTTTCGCGAACGCGCTTTCGAGGTTATACGCGTTTAAAGCGAACGACACGGACCTCGCTGCGTTGCAGGTTAAGTTCTTGAAGACGAAGGAGGGATGTGCCATGATTCAAATGGGCGACAGTATAGCTGTGGAGCGGTGTTTACAAAATCTGAACAACGTCACGATCGGGACGGATGGCAGGCTGCAGCTCGCCTTCTCGAAGCAAGCTTTCCTTTCGGACGTCACCAACCCGTACATTTTGCCTGACAAGACAGCGAGCTTCAAGGACTTTACAGGAAGCAAGAATAACAGGTAACTATTGTCGCGCGTCTTGATCCTCCTCGATCATTTTTCGCCGGGCTCCTTCCTCTTCATCGGAGACCGTTTGTCTCTCCGCTTGATCTTCTCCCGTCCTCACCGGTGTCACTTTATTTTCTCTTACGATACGTACATTTTGGCTCGTCGGACACCAAACTCGCCCTTCTCGTGAGACGGTACGGTAACCAAAAGTAAAAAAAGAACATACCGAAGCGAGACAATTTCATTTCCTCGTGGAACCACCGGACCAGCCTCGGTGGGTTCTTAATAAATCGAACCCTCCGCCTAACTCGAGCCGTTTATCTCGCGACAAAGTACGAAAGACCCCGAGCGGGATTCTGACAAAACGATCTTTTTCCCATCGAGCTCTTTCGCGTCGAGATCTTTCACGCGAGTCTTAATATTAGGTGTACAACTTTGCTTCCGCCGTTTTTTTTTTTTTTTTACCGAAATTCGAGGCTTTATTGTAAAAAACTGGTTATACATTTATGATTACAAAGTATTGTCCATCGCTGGCCATTACTTTCTCCCATCTTTCGGGCAGCGTACGAATCCCGCGTTGAAAAAACTGGTCATCTTTTGAAGCGATCCACGAATCGATCCAATTTCTTACCTCTTCATAAGACCGGAAGTGCTGGTCGATCAGGCCGTGTGCCATTGATCGAAACAAGTGATAGTCAGAGGGAGCAACGTCTGGAGAATACGGCGGGTGGGGTGGGACTTCCCATTTCAACGTTTTCAAGTATGTCTTGACCACTTTCGCAACATGGGGTCGAGCATTGTCATGCTGCAAAATCACTTTATCGTGTCTCTCGTTGTATCGCGGCCGTTTGTCTTTCAATGCTCGGCTCAAACGCATTAATTGCGTTTGATAACGATCACCTGTGATTGTTTCAGTCGGTTTTAACAGCTCATAATACACTACGCCGAGCTACGTCCCACCAAATACAGAGCATGACCTTGGAGCCGTGAATATTCGGTTTGGCCGTCGACGTGGATATGCCCATGATTTTCTGCGCTTGGGGTTATCGTAATGAACCCATTTTTCGTCCCCAGTCACAATGCGATGCAGAAATCCCTTCCGTCTTTGCCTTTCAAGCAACTGTTCACGAGCAAACAAACGCCGTTCAACATCTCTCGGTTTCAACTCGTACGGCACCCAATTTCCTTGCTTCTGAATCATTCCCATGTCTTTGAGGCGTTTTGAAATTGCTTGTTGAGTCATTCCCAATGGTCGTGCCAATTCTTCTTGACCTTGACACGAGTCTTCATTAAGTAATGCCCTCCAATTCTGCATCTTCGAAAACCTTCTCTCTTCCACCGCTATGCCGGTCTTCGACGTGAAAATCACCGTTCTTGAAGCGTTGAAACCACTCGCGACACGTTCTTTCACTAATAGCGGCCTCACCATATAAGTATTTGAGAGCATTCGCCGCAGCCTCAGCCGCAGATTTCTTCATATTGAAGCAGAAAATTAAAACCTCCCGCAAATGACGAGAATTTGGCTCGTAAACTGACATTTTCAATCGAGAATAACTTTATGACGCAGACACAAATCGACTAATGTTTCTATGGGGTTATGTTGACAGATGCCCAAGTTTATCGCATGACGTCTATGATCTATTTATTTCGACCACTACTTACCGCTAAAGCCATCTATAGGAAAACGGCGGAAGCAAAGTTGTACACCTGATACGACGCGCTGGGGTGTGTTCGGCACGAACGCCGGTAGATTGCAACGACACTCCGCGAGATTAAACTAGAGTCTAATTAAATGAAGACACGTAAACGAGCGCGATTTAAATTCCGCTGTTAAGCCGGGAATCTCCGTTCCCCGTCGATTCGGATCTGGCTCCGGCTTTCTGCTCGCGAATGGTGAGCACGTTCGAGGACGGAAGAATCAAATCCCAAGGCTGAATAGAGGACTAACGACAACGCGACATGCTTTCGCCAAGCGCACTCCACCGATCGTCCGGGGTGGACACTCGAAGGTACATCGCTGATGACGTCCGGCTCAGCGATTAATGTCGCCGCAGATCGCAAATCGAATCGCGGATGGATCTTTCGGCGAGATCTTTGTCGCCGTGAGCGAGACACATCGATGTCGATCGATGGAAAAGAAACGAACGTGAGCGCGTGTGAGAGCTTCGATACAGAGCTGAATAGTAGTCAGGATAAAACTGTCGCAAAATGGATCCGAGAAACGAGAGGAAATTCTTTTTTGTTTCTTTGCTCGTTATTTACGGGAACGATCTCCCTTGGGTTGTTGCGCAAACGAGAGCACAACGTTCAGAGAAACAGAGATCAGTCAGAGACGAGAGATAGACGGATGCCAAAAAAAAAAGGAAATTGATTGTCGCCCAAGCGACAATCGCAATTCTTGCAAAATTGTAGGATTACAATTCTTGTTTTTCTGTTGGTTGCCTAAATTTCGTCGCTTAACAATGAGCGCTGCATGAGCATATGGAATTTTTTCGCTCCCTTTTCTTTCCATTTTTCAATTATTACCGCTTCATTTGTCATCGCGTTTCTTCCAGCAGAGCCACTTTAGATTTCGATTCGAGCACATTTCGCGGAAACCTAGGCGTTAAACCGAATAATTCAGCAGGGCGAATAATTGAACAAAATGAAGAAATACGTCGGTACGTGATACATGATGAGGCCTTTAGGGGAGAGAAAAAGCGGCGCGGGCGGCGCGGGCGCGTATTGCTTCGATGAAAAACTTAATCGCCCACAGGGAGATACGACCGCGCCTTGGGCGCCAGCGAGTTCTGATTGCGAGAAGTTAATCACGAGAAGTCCCCCAAAGCTCGAGAAAGACAAACTGTGCGCTAGAAACGTCCCGACGCCGCTCGTCGCGGAAATCCGCTTTCGCTCGCGTAATTGAGGGACTCGGGTATAAGCTGACATTTTTGTTGAGAGTATAAGATGCCACGACGTATTGTGCGAGAAACGCGAAAGAGAACAATACTTCATACTGAGGGGACAAATACATTCCCCCTGAGGCTTCATCAAACCACGTCCGCCAAGAGACGGGATGACGGTGAAGCAACGTTACGGTATTCTATGATACTTTCTCTCGATAACGTCTCTTTGTGCCTCGAGACAATGAAAATGTCCGCTCCTAATTTCGAAGCGGCCGATATTTTTCCATCTAGCGCACGGCTGTCCGAGCGATACCGTACAGATATCTACAGTGAGTTGAGTGGAGAAAAAAAGAAAAAATACATATACACACACATTCGCAACAGAAAATATTGAAGGGAGAATTGAAAAGTAATAAACGCAGTCTACTTCCATCATTTTTTACAGACGCGATGATATTATAAAAACAAAACTTTTACATCTGTTACTCATATGTTTATTTTTCTTTTAAACTATGTGCCATTAAAACGAAGAAATTAAAATTGAAAAATTTATGAATTCTCTGAAATTTATAGAGTCGAAGAAACAATTAAAAAGTCATTTTTGAAATTAAGGAACATGGATCCATCCATCCATCCATCACCTATGATGCAAAATGTCAATCTTCTTCTTGTGAGCTAAAACCGTTTCGTATAAATGGGCGCGCATTTTAGAAAATTAATTACTACAAATATCAACACTTTAACCGCCTACGCTAATATCCATTAATTATTACGATATTATTCAGTTTCATTCGCTCTCTGTCGGCTATGTATTTAATTGGTTGGTTACGCAGTTGGATACGTTTTATACGGAAATTAATGGACGATGTATATAGTATACCAGTCACTGATGACCACTGTAGTAATCAAAGCTGGGTTAGATTAGATTAGGAGGTTAGGTTAAATTAATAAAACTGAGCAAAGGTCGATGAACGTAATGTATAGTTTCACTATTCGAGCGACACAGTGGATCTCACACACTCTATGTCGAACGTCGGACGTATCGTTGCAGATTCCTTAACCCGGCAATGGCCAATAAAAACAGGATACAGCCACCTTCGAAGATAGTCCACTTCTTCAACACCCCACCGGATCTGACCGAGGAGACAGTCAATCGCGTATTCGTGGAGCGCGGTATCGAGGCGCCGACGACGGTGAAGCTGTTCCCCCTCAAATCCGAGAGATCGTCGTCCGGACTGATCGAGTTCAGTAGTGTCGGAGTTGCAGTCGCTGCTATTATGGAATGCAACCACACAGCACTAGAAAATAGCAGTGAGTATCGAGCAGCTGATATCTATATCGTGCGTGCGACCCGTAAAAAGTGAAATTGCCTCGAGAGGACGCGAGTGAGGTTCTCGTCGTCTCTCCGCGAGAACGATCGCGGCAAGTTTTACGAGCCTATTATATTCCGAACGGTTGACCGGGCCGCGACTTTATCGCTTATTCATTCGACTCGGACCTGTATTTCACCTCTTTCAGCCCGCCTTTACGATTCTCCCGTTTATCGGACAGAGAAATTCCCTCCTCCCCTCCGATCCTCGACGCTCAAGTCTCTTCCATCTCGAAGGTCTCGAGAGCGCGATAATCCCGTCGAGGGGAAAAAAGATTAAGAAAGGGGGCGAGGAAGCTGCGCTTTTTTCACTTGACAACAATTCATTTTATATTGACCTACCGCGGCGGTAGCGCGATGGTAGAACCACGTGTCTCACCCAGCCCTCGTAGAGCGTTAAGCACTCTGCGACCTCGGCGTAAAAATATCGAGACGACAGATACGCACGCGCGTACACCAAGCATCAGTCCGTGTGTGGTAGTCTCTGCTGCCACACACACACATGACACACAACATAACCCAACCTAACCTAACCTAACCTAACGTAACGTAACGTAACGTAACGTAACATAACGCAGCAACCCCGTCATCAACAGTCCGTCCAATATAAGGCTGGATTCACATATCCGTATAGACGGGTGGCAGGCAGGAGTCCTATTCTCTCAATAGACAAAAATGTGATACGATCGACTCGATTGCAAATCGACGCCATTGCAAAAGCACTCCGAAGACCCCTTGGCAGAGAGGACTGAGACGAGAGAGAGCCGTGTCCTGCCTGCCTGCCGGCTTGTCTACACGGATAACGCGAACCCAGCCTAACCGAACGCGGTCCGGTCGCGTCGCCTGTTTCAGACGGCAAGTTCCCCTACATCATGAAACTCTGCTTCTCGTCGTCGCGCACCATACCCACAAGCTTCCCACCGAGCAGCGGTAGCGCGTCGAGCAATTCCGCCGGTAATGGCCACGTCAAAATGCAGCAGGACTCGGAATAGAACGGCGAGGTCCAGGGCCAGCAGCGTCAGCGTCAGCGCCAGCGCCCCTCTCTCGCCCTGCACCCGTTGTGTGCCCCGACGGGCACGGCCCTGCACCCCGCAGCCGCAGCGATTACGCTATCCCCGGTCCTACCGCCACCCGTACCGCCACCCTTACCGCCACCCACCTGCCTCCTGATAGCCACTCCGACCCTCTATCCGACCGTGCCGCCACCGCCGCCGCCTCCGTTGCCCACCTTCTGGCCCTACTGAGTGAGGCGGGCCCAACCGCCGGACCGGCGGCGGACCGGTGAGACTCGCGCGCACATCGACGAGATCGAGCGACGCGCCTTCCGAGGACACGGAACCAGCCCAGACATCGTACGATACACCGAACTCGTCCCTGCGCGTCGTGTCGTGACCACGCACCTCGCTCGGGACCGGACGCGACGAGCGATGCGGGAACGATGACGACGGCGGGGTTGCCCTCGTGATGCCTACCCCACACGAGAGCGTGTGCCAGCCGCACGAGGCCGCCGAGACTCCGAGTCGTCGTCGCCGACGACGCTCTGTGTACTGTCTCTCGCGGCCGCGCGCCCTCGACCTCGCGGTTCCCGCGCTGTGTGACACCTGCCACGGGGATCCTCCGATTTTTGCGGTGCAGTGTGTTGCGGCTGAGCGCGCGCTGATGGTGCTCTGGTGTGTCGATCGTCGGCGTTGGGAGGGGGGGGATGCTTGTTGTCGTCAGTGGGGGTATACACACACACCACAGGCTGTCGGACACGGGAGCCCGGCGTTCGCGGAGTTGCGGGGTGGTGAGTGCTGCACAGGAGATGTATGCGTGTCTGTGTGTGTGTGTGTCTGTGTGTGTGTGTGTGTGTGTGCGTGTGTATGTGTATGTGTATGCCTGTGTGTGTGGGGGTGTGTGCGGAGGTTTATGTGTGTATGTGTGAACACGGTGTCGGGCTCGCAGGCTGTCGCGAGCGCAGCAAAGCGGCAAAATCTCGACGGAGTCGAAGGGTTCTTCGCGACGACGCATGATGATGCCTAGCGGCATCTCGGGGAAGCGCGCAACGGGTGCGGCTCATGTGGCCAAAGCGGCACTTGATGTCGCGCGCCTTGCTTCTCGGAGGTACCTGGAAACAGCTCGGAGACCGGCGGCCTCCGGCGCGCATACATATCAAGGGCAAGGAAAAGACAAATCGGCGGCGTGCTTCGCAAGGAACTACGCGCGTGCGCGGACTTGGGATCTCACTCACGGAGGAGGGGTTCACGAGGTGCCTCAGAGGGACGGCGGCAACCGCCTGAAGGGAAGCAGAGCCAACGGGGAAGGACAAACAAACGGCCCGAAAGTGTCGGTCGACTCTTGCATGATGATTCGAAGGAGCTGGCAATTTTCTCGGGGAAGAAGAAAAAAGGGGGCTTTGCAATAGAGGAGACGCTTCTTCTAGAACGAGGAACGAGAACTTGGAACTCCATCGACGAAGGAGGATGGATATGCAACTCGAAGATGCAACTGCTTCTTCTCAAGAGGGGAACGAGAGCGACGGCTCGCCGAGAGAGTCCCAAACTTTCCGGGGTGGAGCGGTCGTTCGAGGAAGTTGGAACCCCATAAGAGGACATGCAGGACTCTGCTGATTCTATCAAAGGGAACGATCGAAGCGAGAGAAAATAACTTACCGAGACGGCTGGAGAAGGACGACGGGAACCCATCGGAAATGAATCGAACCAGGTGGAGGAATCCCTTTGACAACGAGACGACGCGAGGACGCAGTTTAGCTTCTTCGGAAAGGCAGTCGGGTCTTTCGGAGGAGAGGCAGCACGATGATCCGGAAGACCGCTGAATCTCCTCAGAGGGTGCGGCGTTTGGTAAATTCTTTGACCGGAATTCTTCAGCGAGACTGGAGCAAATCCGCACGAAGTGTCCATTCTACATGTGATTGTCGGCGAAGCGCGCAAGGAGGCGTTGCTCCCGCGAAGCCTCTCTCGTTAGGATACGAGGGCGTCCCAGCTGTCCTTCTCACGGTCGCCCTCGCGAGACGCTTCCTCACGTTTGTGCGTTCGCTCGTTCGAGATCGATCGCTCGTTTTTAATTTGCTCGTCCTATCGTTCGCTCGCGCCTCGCGCTCGACTCACCGGAAACGCGCATGGACACACGTGACACATTTTACCCTCAAGCCGAGCCACCAGCGCTCCTCGACGACCATATTTTGTGGGATCCAATAATGAACCGGAGATTTCTCAACGACCACTTAATTAACACACACTCACAGACACACGTACACGTACGGGACACAATTAGGAAAAGAGCGATTCGGGAAGATCCGAATCGGCTTTGCGCCACGAGAACAAACTGTCGTACGACCTGCGCAGGGAGCGCAGAGAGCATTCGCTTTTGAAGGTCAACGCCGCCGCTCCATTCGTCGTCGTGATTACGCAACGGCCCGCGGCAAGCGTCGCGCCGTTTCCTTTGTATGTTTGCCGTACAACGCGCGACCCAACACCGCGTGTGCTTCTGTAACGTCAACGTTCAACTTTGTGTTGAAGCACGCATACACACACACACACACCCAGCCAGCCAGCCAGCCAGCCAGCCACTCAGCCACCTACACATGCACACACTCGTACATAAACACATATATACATGTACACACACAGCAAATCGGGCAAATTGTTCCTCCGGCTGGAGAGGAGCGATTTCCCCTCCCCGTGGAACGATAAGTCTCTTTTTCTGATTTTAAAATTGACATATTTTAAACGAACTGAGGAATTCGTCCGCAACAACACGGTAATTCGCGGGTGGAGCGACAACTTTTCACACGTGGGGCATGTAGCTCTATTTTTTTCGCGGCTTTTTGAAACTTGTTCATCTCTCTCTCTCTCTCTCTCTCTCTCTCTCTTCCTTTCTCGGCGACATTGTCGTCTAGAAAAGAATGTGAGAACCTTTTAATTGGGGCCATTTTAACCGAAACCTATAAATAAAGTCTAATCTAGGATTCTTATATATTTTTTTTTTTTTTTTGGGCTCCAGTCGCTTAGCGTGTTGTTGCTTGAAATCTGTTTAATTAAAGAGCATAACTTCTAATATAATAGCGATAAGATATTGCGTTTCTTCCCCGCGTTAGAATAAGACATTTTAGAGCTATGAGAAGTAAAAAGAGGAAGAAGGAAGAAAAAAGTGGCAAGGATAATTTCTTAAAAGATAGCATATGTCTTTCTGACAGATTAAGAGAGAGTTGCAAATTGTATCCTTCGGAAATTTGTCTCGAGTGAAGAGCTTCAACGTTTTTCTCAAAATGGCGGACGAAAAGAGAGACGCCATTACGAATCAACGAGACGCCTCTGCCCGAAGAATAATCGACGAATTTGAGTAATGATTTCTTTTTTAAATTTCAAAGACATCCGGATTTATATCCACTAGCCGGATAAGGATTAATTTTACGATTGGTTACGAGAGGGAACTCTGCATATCTGCAAGTTTTTACGCCGAGCAGCAAGGTGAGTGTTTCGATTTGCGTTTCGGTTTTCGTTGCGCGAGGCTACGTCGCGGACCTTAAAGGTTAAACAATAAAAGTCGTCTAGACTGCTATCAATTAAGAGGATTAAGTCGTTTCCACTGTACCCCCCCCCCCCCACTTTACACCCTCCGCTTCTCCAGTCAAATAAACGAACGAAGGAATCCTCCCAAAAGCTGTAGTGTTCAGGTTGCGACGATGACATGTCACAGTGTCCGCACGTTCGCGTGCGGGCGAGCGAGGCAAAAGAAAGAAGAAGAGAAAAACGGAAAACAATCACACACGACAAAGTGAACGCACCACGCCCGACGAGCGCCGTGGCACTCCTTTACAACACTTTTGATCAGATCGCGCATTCTGCAAAAACTGAATTTTATATATTGAAACAAACAAACAAAAAAAAAGGAAACAAAACAAACAATAAGGAAGAATGAAATCGGCGACACACTCACACTCACACGCACACATTACATATGCACATGCACACAGACATACGATATACGAACGCACGCACGCGTACATAGACCCACACAGAGACACGGTACACACGACACCTACACGCATACGTACACACCTCTACACACGATATATTAGTGTCCCTCGGCAATATTTTGTCGGGCCGAGAGGCGTTTTTATAAGAATGGTTTTAGATCTCCGAACAAATTTTGCGATGCGAACCAAACGACTAACTAAACTAAAAATAATATAGACTTTGACTCGGCCATACGTAAACGTAAGATAATAAAAGGGCCGAACGCGCGCCCTTTTGAGAGATTGCGTGAGATGAATATACCCGCCATGTTTTGTCCATTGCCCGTGAGAGAAAGAGAGAGAGAGAGAGAGAGAGAGAGAGAGAGAGAGAGAGAGAGAAAGGGAGAGAATGTGAGAGAGTGCAAGAGTGGGAGAGAGAGAGAGAGAGAGAGAGAGAGAGAGAGAATTGAAGAGAAAGAAAGAGCGAGAGATATACTCTAACGTAAATGAGAAAATAATTTAAATAAGCAAACAAAGTTTATATTCGAGGCAATATTTGTTACAATACAACCTAGGGGATAAGTTGTGTGTATCGTGTAATAATCGGGAGCTTCGGCTGGGATGGTGAACGCGAGGGAGGAGACTTATCCTCACCGATCGCCGACGACGAGAAACCGTATCGCTGGAGCTGTCGATTGTAAAAGGGGACGACGTATCGACGTCGTTAGGGAGGAGGGGGTAGCGCGAGCGCGAAAGCGGAAATGTAGAGAAAAGAGGTACTAAGTTAATGAACTTTGCGCGCGCTCGGCGATCAATTGCGACGCGTTGGTCGGTTGTTGTTTACATTCGCGGAGACTCACGGCGGTAGAGAGTTTGTGTTCTACATACATATATATATATATATATATTTATATTTATATATATATTATTTTTTAATACATCCCCTCCGAGCCGCCGCGCACTCTCTTCCCTAGCAAGGAGAGTCCAAATTTGTGTTTCTACATCACATTCTCGTATTTTTATTATTATTAGGACCGATATTGTAATTATATTAATGTAATTAGACGTCATTTTATTATATTGTCGTCGTCGTCATCATCATCGTCATCTTATCGTCATCATCATCGATCATCGTCAGCATTATCATCATCGGCGTCATCGTTGTCGCGTAATTATGCCTTGAATTTCGATCGCGCCTAGAGTACATCACGTTTCACATCGGAGAGAACAACATTGTTTCAACACTTTCTTCTTTTCTCTTTTGATTTGACAAACAGGACCTAAGACGTGTAAGCGCGAGTAGACGCTAAGCAATTTTAGGAGAACGCGTAACCATATCATACAGTTTTGTAGATAAATATATATATATATGCATATATATATATATATATATATATATATATATATATATTTATGTGATACGGACTATGGCGTATTTAAAATTAAGAGCATATCTCGTCGCGTGACAAAACGCGTCGCGATTGTGCACTCGACGATATCCACTCAGAGACAAATCCGAGAAGTGAAGTGTGCCGCAAGTCGGGTCGTTTCGCGATTCCTCGGGAACGAACTCGCGAGAAAAGCCGCGCTATCTGTGTGCGTATTTTCTCGGTTCCCTTCTGCGCGTCTTCACCGAAGCTTGAGATCGCGATCGCAAAAGTCACGATTTCAACGACCAGTCGATTTGATAATTCCGCTCGCGAAATTAGCGAAATTCGTTCGTACAATTACGAAAATAATTAATTCACCGAAGCAAGCCGACGTATATACATATTTTTTCATCCAGATTATTAAACCGGCCGTCTTCGACAGGTCATGTTTCCTTTGACTGACAGACAAAAAAGAAAAACATCTAAATTCTTCTATTTCGGTAAGATCCATCCACCGAACGACACTTTTCGTTCCTCCGTTAACTTGCAACTTTCACCCCTCCCCCCCTGCCGTGGGGAGCGCGACCGAAGCAGCGGTGAGTAGCGGGAAGGCGAAAATGCGGTTTCGTTCTCGAGGCAGGTATTACGGGAATGGCGGCGTCACATCCCGACGGAGAATCTCACTAGCCGCCGCGCGAGTTTAACGACGCGATTACAATAAGTAAGAACGCACCGAGCGACCGAGCACGCGCGCATATATACCAGACTGTCGCTTATTTTCTGACACTTTACCCGCGCGCTAAACTCCGGTAAAGCTAAGACGCGCGTACGTAGAACGTATTTACAACGAACACACTCGCCCAACACGGCCCCGTTCGCCACCACGTGCATCTCTCTTCGTGCATCCGGGACGAGAGAAAGAACGAGAGTGTGTCGAGACGCGCGGCGAGACGGGGCCGCGTTGCCTCTTCGACGTCCCCTCGGAAGACGGTCGACCTTTACATTTAACCCTTTTCCATGTGCGCTAAGTGTAATTAGACAGAGGAAATTAAAGTCGTCGAATAACAAATACAAATAAGCAAACACCGAATTCTAGAACTTCGCGCGCGCTAGAGACTGTCGCGGATCCTCCGTAGGACTTTCAGCTTAACGAGGACGTAGGAGAAGACCGTAGACCCGTCGTCTTATTAGTCGAGTGAGAGAAAAAAGCTAAAGGATAATAAAGAAACAGTAAGCGTAAAAAACGGCGAGAGGCGTATAGCGGAGAGAGAAAGAGAGCGTGTGTGTATGTGTGTGTGTGTGTGTGTGTGTGTCTGTGTGTGTGTGTGCGTGTGTGTGTGTGTGTGTGTGTGGTACATGAGAAAGTAAGTGGGAGAGAGAGGGAGAGAGAGTGACCTGTAGGTAGCTCGTAGTCTGCGCAGGCAGAAATCGATTTCTAAGGAATAGCCGCTTGTCCCGACGGTGTCGCCAGCCTAGTGCGACGCCGGCACGCGCGGGGGTGTGGAAGGGTTAAATCTAAAGACACACATATAAGTAACAGATATGTCGCACCTCGAGTACTCTGTGCATCAGAAGATGACGAGCCTCGCGCGCGCAAAGAGCGGAGAAGCTCGCTTTCGCACGGTTTGTTGCATATCAACCCTCGACCGGGTGCTGCATGACCAGTGCCGCGGCATTCTGAGGATTGCGCGCGCGCTTCGAATCGTCAGGAAAGACGTGCTGTGCGCGAGAACAGGTATATCCGAGGACCCGCGCGCGAGTCTGATAACGGCGTAATAAAAAAGGAGCGAGAGAGAGAGAGAGAGAGAGAGAGAGAGAGAGAGAGAGAGAGAGAGAGAGAGAGAGAGAGAGAGAGAGAGAGAGAGAGAGAGAGAGAGAGAGAGATTCTCAACCGCATGTTACACGAGGATGACGAAATACCTCTGGGAATATCCCCCAGGACGAGAGTCCTCGGTTGCGTCACAGATTTATATTTCTACGCGGCTAAGATGAAAGTATCAACACATGCCGAGACGTGTATTTAAATTTGGACATGCTCTTATTGTCTTGATCCTTAAATATGAATATTTAAACTTTCAGCATGGGATATATATATGTGTATATATAAATACATACATTCGAGATATATATACATATATATATATATATATATATATATATTGAATATGTGTATGTGTGTGTGTATGTTCTACGTTGAAGGTTTATTAAATACTCGAGTTTAGAGATCAAAACAAAGGCTGCAATCAGTGAGAAAAGTTGTCTGGCGACTGTTGCAAGGTTCTCGAATCTCATTGCTGTATGTCGTTGTAATTTAGTCATGATTAAGAGCATATGTTAATGGGTTCACGGCGAAATTGACATCAGCTGCAAAGCAGCATTCTCTACTGTGAATGTAGTCAATAACAGTGTCGGGAATTAGGTACACGTCCTGGAATTGGTATAATTGGTATTTTTGCCTTACTGTGACGCTCAGTCCTGGCTCGAGTTGATTTGGTCAGTAAAATAGAGATGGAGAGGGCGGAGAAAGAGAGGAAGGGAGGGAGAGAGAGAGAGAGAGAGAGAGAGAGAGAGAGAGAGAGAGAGAGAGAGAGAGAGAGAGAGAGAGAGGGGGGGGGGAGGGAGGGAGGGTGGGAGGGAGGGAGGGAGGGAGGGAGGGAGGGAGGGAGGGAGAGAGAGAGAGAGAGAGAGAGAGAGAGAGAGAGAGAGAGAGAGAGAGAGAGAGAGAAATTGCTTCCAACAAGCTCACTGACGGCGGCTCACACGCGAAGCAATTGCGTCGTCAGGCATACCTGCTCTCGGGTGCTGCATATTTCCGGGTTTACCGGTGGCTTCCGCGACACGTCGAAGCGCAGCGGGACGCGAATAACCCGCGTACATTCGGCGTACCTCGCGCCGGGAGCTCACGCTGACAGCTCGAGCGGGAGCGGCGGCGCCTCTTCAAACGCCAATCCTCAGGATTGCCGCCGTCGCAGCGAGGGGTTTAGAGGGCACGTTTAGGCGTGAAACACGCAGACACGCGTTTTACAATGTAAGATTAATCGCGCGTCTCTTTCCACGGACGAGTGGAGGATGTACATAGCTTATACCTGGCTCCTTTTTTTCTCTTTTGGTACGAAGAGGCCCCCCCCCCTCCACTTATACCCCGAGTAAGTTTCGCGTACTCTCTCTCGCTAAGTGTCACGCTTATAGAAGATCTAATTAAACTAAATCAATGGACAAGGACGTGACACACATACACGAACACACGCAATACAGACAGATACATGGGGGAAACACACAGACACTTAATCGTTAATCGCAGAGCGAACGCGACTGCGGTAGCAACCGCGACCCGGGCGGGCATCCTCTCGCGGACATCTTCTGGTGAACAGGTTCTAAACGTTGTACAAAATCAAATTGTAATTTGTAGCCTGTAGAGAGCTCCTGTAAACGATACAGTATTCCAGAGTAGAGTTACATAGCACTGTGTATAAGCACGATTACATGTTAAACACACTCTTCACACACCAAACTTGGAGGTTGTAAAAACGAGCCATCTGTGTCGAATAATTAATTGTAACGGAGGCGCAAGGAAGCTGCGGATATAACTGGTTTTAGAGAGATCTTATAACTAATACATATCCCCATCTTCTCTATATGTATATATTTGCAATCGCATGAGTATCCGATAATTAATTAATTAATTAATTAATTATTAATAATGTAATTATCATTATTCTTATTAGTGTCACAATTATTTATAGTCCTTCTCACCCCCCCCCCGCGGACTTTGTAAAAGCCGCGGGTGGCCGGATATAAGTATGTTTAAAGTGAACGTTGCGTTTAAGGCGTTAGGTTTAATGCTCGTTAGTTAGACACTTAGATAGTCGAGAATACAGTAGGGTACATATCGTTAAAATATTGTTATTAATTAATGGTAAACTGCGAAAGGGTATTTACTGCCGTTGCGCTTTGCTTCCTCTTGCACGCGAGGCTCCGCCGCGACGCGACCACGCGTGA